CGTCCACGCACAGTTTGTTTCGATACCGCTGCCGTTCAGGCTCGGGCCACGAGCTCAAATAGTCGGGCATAGCACACTACATACATTGTGAGGAAATGCGACGCACAAATAAAGATACAAACGTCTCTACAACGTCAACAACGAGCGCACGCCATAGAACCCTATGACGAAAACACGGAGAGCAGGGCTGCTTTTGCCCACATAGCTACCGCGCATGCGCGGCCTTCCGGCCGTGTTGGTAAACAGAGCCGCTCCGCGTGTCGGTCTATATGCAATATTAAAACTCACTACTGTTTCACCGGCTTCCGACGCCAAAAAAACATGCTGCAGTGCGTAGACGCGCAAGCAGGTAGGCGTTCCTTCCACCAGGAAAGGTTTAGATTGGCAAAATGACGGCGCTTAAATACGAAAGTAGATGAATGTTTAAAAAATTGGTAATTAAAAAAAATTATATCCGTTTTCGTTTTTCGGGGGGGGGGGGGGGTTTGGTCTGGAAGAATATTGGCGGCGACTTTGGAAGTTTTGCCGATTGTCAAAAGTCGCTACTTTGACAGCACCCTTAATTATTCTAATTTTACAGGAATTTTTTTTACATTAGCTAGATTGTTTTCATTGATTTTATACTATATTTATGTTATAACTTGGTAATTGAAAATGCTGCAATCGGCACCAGTGATGATAGTTAGCACACTTTCGATTGTCATACTTGTTCGTGTGTTTGAAATTAGATCATAAGCCACTAATTATTTCAGAGCTTGAAAAACTGCATATTAAAATATTTTAATATTTATATTATTATTAATACAAATCACGGCAATGTATGCCTCCCATTAACGCCACGATTCCAAAAATACGCCATTTAACCATAATAGTATTTCCAGAAAGGTATCATTTTGTTTTCTTTTTAGCGCATGAAAACCTCTGACATCATTATCAAGATAGACGAACAGTCAAACACTGGATGCAATATAAACTTTTATGCGTTACGCGTTGCTTTAAAAGAAACACGCACACTTCAGGTGCCTGACTCGGATTCCGTCTTTGAATTTTTCTAGTGAGAACAGCGTTTCTTAATTCATACGTTTTGTGAAGATATTGTATAAATCGGATTTATTCTCTTATTTTTGGCTGGGTACAATGTTAAAGCAATTAATAATCTAAATACCCAAAAACCCATTGAAAGGCCCGCAGTTTATTATTTCACATGACAATTTTCTGAGCGAGAATAGGTAGCGAGAACGCACAAATATCAGCACAAATTTTTTTTTCACCAATTAATAATATTCTATGTTACCTCTAACATGTATGAAAGGCCCTGTGATTAAAGGGACAAAAGTTCCCGCGAACAACTTCTTTAACTAAATAATTACGGTGTGAGACACATCTTGATGTTATGAAAAAATCTAAAATTAAGATCTATACCGAGAAATTAAATCCAGCATAGAGGTTAGTTTCGGTATCGCTTCAGAATTAAAACATGCCTCCCGGCGTAAAAACTACACTAAATACCTTTGTTGTTTTCAGGATAAAGAGGTGCATCTGCGCTCCTAACACCCTAGCTTCCTCGTATAAGCAGAAATAATTTGTGTCGCTCAGTGAATCCAGCAAAGCAGATAGGCTCAGCAGCGGAATGCACCTCCGACCGTCATTAAACCCGCCATTTTCGAAAACGAGTGGTGCCACCTATAGTGAATTGGAGTCGCGAATATGCGACGCACACGCTTGCTCGGCGACGAGCGTGGCAATACTATGCTGAATCTAGAGGGACCTGCGGTCAAGGGAATGCCTGTTTTTTTACCCCCTTTTTTTTAAATTTTTGGTGCCTATGGACTTTATGAACGACCCTCGTACACATATATATATACATACAGTATATATTATTATGTGAATAAAACGGCATATTACAAGAGTGACAAATGAGATGGTTCCTGACAAAGGTCACAGTCCTTCTCGTCTAATTTTGCTAACTTACTTTTTCTTATTTTTTATCGTAGCAATATCTTCTACCACGACCGGCTTTATTAGGGGCGACCAGGTCACCCGAGGCAGCGCGAGCGCGCCGCATTTGCTTTTGCTTGTTTAGTACTTTCTCTAGTTCGCCAAACCGCCACCGCGTTTTTCGGCTCTGCAGCTCACCACACTAGCAGACGCTTTCACGTGTGTATCTGTGTGTATCCGCTCCACGACCGGCAACTTTTTGAGGATAATCGGCTCTATTTTAAGGATTTTTCTCATCGTTATTGCGACTGTACGTTCGGTAAAGAGCTAGAATTAAGCTGACCTAGATCGCATTTTTCTCTGGTCAAACGATAACAAACTTCCCCTAAACTAAACCAAATGCGCTATCATGCACATCACTGCCTCGCGCCAACCTTCGACCCCTCCAACACCTTTCCTGAACCGAGTGGAGATACTAAGAACAACGGATATCTACCTCCTAGATGTCATCATCGACAAGCATTTCAATTTCCATCGCTATGTCAAAAACGCCATGTCCGCGGAAAAAGGACTCCTTGGCTTCGTCATTCGGACTACAACAAGAGCCAGTCCCGATGTGCCCAGATCGCTGTTCGCAGCTCTGTTGTTGCCCATCCTAGAGTTTTGCTGCTCGGTGTGCGGTTCGGCAACCAGGCAACTTGTTGCCTCCCTCGAGTCGGTGCAACGTCGCGCTTCTTACCTTATTATGAGGCGTCAACTTGGCCTCCGAACACCATCCTATCGAGCACTGCACCTCCTCCGTTCAGTCGGCAGGGACCCGCTTCAACATCGACGTCAAGTAGCGACCACGCTGCTTTTAGCCACTTTTTTTGCTACCGGACTCCTCGCTTCTTTTTGCCTCCTCCCTGCGGCGTACTCGCACTGGTGGACAGCAGCCCCTTTTAAATCATACGCTTTGTCACTAGAACTCATTCGCACCCCGTGCAGTGCAACTTTAAAAGTCCCCCCCCCCCCCTCCCACCAGTCACCAGTTCACTACCAATGAACGGTGTCTCTTTTTTAACATTCACCAAGAGCGTCACGGCCTGCCTGCGGAGCATCTAGCTCGATTTTTTATTCCGATCATGGAGTGGGCTCCAGCAGGCGGAATGAATGCACCATCCTCGTACACCCTGCGGATGCCTAGCACACAATACTAGCTATTCTGATCGAGAAAACTATAATATAGTCACTCATTTTAACTTATTCTATTCACACTATATGGTAGCATTAGCGTCTGCCTATTAAATGCGACAGAAATCATCTGAAACCAACGTTATTTCCACACGTTCCCCACTGCCTTCCATAGCGGCCGCCGCGCTTTTGGTGTTCAGCTAGGGCGGCGCCTAGCAGAACACTCGGTCCCTCCGAGCCGTTCACGTGATATTTCTTGGCCCGTGCGCTCCCATAGAGAAATGCGGAGTGACCTGGTCGCCCCTATAATGCCGGTCGTGATCTTCTACGTTATGAACTATAGGACAGTCGAGTTTTGCTACACGACGTTACAACTATAGGAGACACATAAGACGGAAGGCTAAACTATTTATTTTAAAGGGTATGGATGAATGCATTCGTGTGGTCGACATATAAGAACAAATTCGGCGTGGGTGATATAGAAAGCAACAGCTGGTCATTATTCAGGTATTTATGGCGTGTTTAGCGGTCGATGAAAGTCTAATTTGATGCGGGGTATGAAGCTTCGGTTCCGTGGCTTCCCACGGACTCATCAAAATGTCGTCGGAAGGACACGGAGACTGACTTTTTAACAAAGCAGGCATTATAGCATCGTGCAATGTTATTAAAGAAAAAACTTTTCCGCCGCACCGAACAAAGACGACCACGCGAGATTAATTTCCGCACAACTAACCGACATATGAAGGTCATGGAAAAAAAAAAAAAAAAAAAGACTTCATATTGTGAACACAATTTTAGTTAGAAAGTTTGTCGAGTTTTCCTTTTGAATGGGCTGTTGGCGCTACCGCGTGCGGTGCCTTTGTTCGGGGCTCTTTTGAACGTGGGGTGGATATCTTTATGCGCGTCCAAGCTTTGGGGGCGTTCCTCACACGTTACATCGCAGCTGAAAGCGAATGTTCATCAATGTTATAAATTACATGCGTTAATTACTGTTTTCTTCTCCGCATTTTTATTTTTTTTTTTTTTAAAGATGGCGAAGCAAAGCAAAAAATTGTATAATGCACGAATGCAGCAAATTTTTTTAGAAAGAAACTTTTTTTCTGGTGAGATTATCAAGAGAGTTTGCCTCGTGATACATGCGGTACTGTGCTTCAGAGGAAGTGTTCAGCAGTTTAGGGAAGAGGGGGGGGGGGGGCGAACTGGAACTGCTGGGGAATATTGTGCACTGAACACCGCTACCGTGATTAACACGGAAGCACATTGGTACAAACACGCCCGTTAATGTTTCATTGCGTACTTGCCGATATGGAGTACCGGCCACACATTGCAGTGGGCGCAGTGCGGTTGATGTTTAATTTATTCCTCGCATCAAATTTTGAGAAATGTACATAGGATTGTTTTTGCCACAAATTACGAGATATCGACGAAGGTCGATAATAGCTACATATCACATAGATTAGAGATGAAGGTGTGAAGTCAAAAAGATTTAGAGACATATTTCTTGATTTGCAGCTTTCTAGACTCAGAAAACAATTCGGATGCTGGCTGTGCCTTGATGAATTTACATAATCACCCCTTTCTGTTTCTTGGTTTGACTATGGTTACCTTGAACGCTCATATAGTCAAATGCAGCCCGAGAATAAGCGCATGCTATTACTAAATAATATGCAAAAGTTTCTTCCTATTTCTATGTTCTTAAGTATGGTCATATCCAGGGTGACAACATCCTGTCACAAATTAGACACAAACAATAACATTCGTATCACAAAGCTTGTGTTTCCATTCAACTTTGAACAGGTTTCAATTTTCTAATTATCTTGATTTCAGTATTTGCTCTCGTATGAAAACAAAATACTAATTCAAATTTAAAGCATACACTATAACCGGATCTACGATGGACGGACCGCGTTGACGTTATGCCGCCCAAACCGCCTGAACACCACCACCGATACAACAAGCATGACGGGCACGAAAACAATGAACGTCGACCACATCACGAAGGAGAAATAGTAGAGGGTGGGATGACAGTACCGCGAATCGCCAGGTTCTGCCGAAGGCCAAACTTCCCTAAACACGACCAGGGCTCCTGCGGTCGAAGCCCCCAGGGCCACAATCACAAGCAGCGACACGATGACGGGACAGTAGCGGTTGTTGGCGTTCCAATCCAAGGCGGCGCTCAGCAACGGAATGAGGAAGTACGCGCATCCTGCCACGGTCAGCGTCAACGGAATGGCGTCGTTCAGCTTGCAGTTGGAAAAGTTGAGCGCGCCGATGGAAATCATGGCCACCGGGACGCAGAGGAACACAAGAAAGAGGATGGTAGCCACGGCCGACTGGAAACAGAGTACGATGTAGAGGTGCTGGCCGTTCAGTTGCGATGAAGACTCGCTGTACTTCTTCTCAATGCGGTCCATGATGCAGCAGGACATGGGCTCCTGGTCTTTGCTGCCTGCGGTGGGACTGGGTTCTGTGGCTGTGATCTTGGTGCTGGAAGGGCGCACACTAGACTTGGAAGTATTGACCGCCGGGTACTGGTAATCAAGGACAGGGCCACGTCCGGTCTTGACTGTGGAAGGTAGGGCAGGCCTAGGTGGCTCGCATACGAGCTTGGGACCTCCACCCGTGGGTTGCTCGGGAGTCGAGTTCCTCTTTTTGTGAGAGGAGTGGCGGTGGTCGGCAGAACGGGACCGAGGCGGGTTGCGGCGTGGAGTGCATGGACGTGGGAGCACGGGCATAGGTGTGAGTGGTGGTACCGCAAGTGGGAGCAATGGTTTGAATTTGTAACTGGCCTGTCGGCGCTATATTTTGGTGCTGTCTTCGTCTTCTGTTTCTTCTGAGAAGGCATTAAACGATGTCACGCGCTTTTGAAATTTAATGCCTTTTCGATGAAGTGATAAATTTGGCCAAATATTCTGATACCTCAAATTAGAGTCAAGGAATGAATAAGGTACACGATATTGTTTCAGATATGGCTTATGCGTAGTACAATTATAAAATTCGCGCACAACAAGAAATGCTGCTAGATTTAACCTATATATATATATATATATTTGCAATTCAACCCCGCCACTTTTCCTCTTTCAATTGAGGAAAGAAACAAAGGAGCTGGGACTCCGGCGAAGGCGGTGACAAGGACTGTAGTCCTTGGTGCTACCTCTACCACTTTGTTTTTTTTTAGTTTTAACGGCAAAAAGCGAGTGCGATAAGATAGGAATTGTTGCTTCAAAATTCAACACTTAAAAATCAATATGCTCGTTTTCTTAACGCAAGTCACGCCTTCGTTTTTTTGTAATTTTTTCATGCAATGACCGCTTCGTATCTGTAGTAAAATGAATTGATTTCAGCACACTGACCAGCGTCAGCGAGCAGGCGCATAAGGAATCCTAAAAAAAGCTATCCCCGTCTCTTACGTCATCTTTAACTACCGACCCCGCCATCTATAAAGCACTATAGTTGCGAATATAAATTTACACAATGAGGGAAGTGCTTACACAATAACGGCGAACGTGAAATAAATTACAAAGTCATTCGAATAAATAGAAATTGCACATAAAATGTATGTTAGACTTTTGAGAATAAATATCGTGTATTCTTACCTCGGACTGCTATAGTAATATTTTGTAATTCGAAAATTCACGAAGTAAAGCACATGGACGCATCACTTTTATAAGACATGACAGGGACCTAAAGGTCTCTTCAATAAAAATAAGGTTATTGTCGAGCATGCCTAGTCCAATCCGCAAGCGGCGTCGCCTCCAATATTACCTAAGAAAGGTCAAAATTATGAGCTACAAGTGCTACACCTATCGAAATTCATAAAAACAATATTCGGATATCGGTCACTTAAAAATTGAGGCAATGAGAAGCTGCCAGCCGGGCCCAGTTATGTGTTGTTAAAGATCTCTTATTTGGACGAGTAGATACCGGTACTTCACGTCCAGTCCTCTCCGGAAAGAAGGTGGGTAGATTGAAAAGTGAGAAGAAGTCATATGTACGGTGAGTAGGGCATATTTAGTGTTCAAGATCGGTGGTCTGAACAAAGCCTAGTTATGTGTGCAAAGAAATTAAGTTTCCAAAATCATAGTGTCCCACGATAGAAATAACAAATATTTTTCGCCCACTGCGTACGAAGAAACGTAGCACAATCGCGCATTGCAGGTGGACGGAGTGAAGAGGTTGATCCCTGAGGACGGAGGTGCGAAGTGGTTAATTCTCATAACCGTCGTGGTTGGCGTCGTGGATGCCACTGACGACAACCACCAGTGCTCGTTTCACCCATGAAGAAAGAGGGTAAGCGCGGTAGAAGTTTCTAAAACGACCCAACATTACGCGTAGCAACTGGAAACCGGCAAAGTGGGATTGCGCGTAACGCGAGGAATGTTTTTGAAAACCATTCTTTTGAAGCAGACGACATGGGCATTCTCGTGACGCGCAATTATTGGCGGGACGTCTGGGCTGACCCCTTTGCTTTCCTCTCGAGGCACGGCCGACGGGACGTCCCGACCTCCCTCTTGTCGAGGCAAGAGGGGAGAAAACGGTTTTTCCCTTCTTCTGGCGCGCGGAGACGGCGGGATAGAAAGCCACAATCCCTGCAAAGTGTCGCCCGTGAAGCGATCACTTCCTAGAATTGTTGTTGCAAAACCATCACTGACGCTAGACCTTACGACGTGCGCTATATATATATATATATATATATATATATGTGTGGACACCGCGCGAACCGAAACTGCCAGATAGTGCTCTCCTCACCTTGGTTGCAAGCGGGGACACCAGATGACTAATGGCAGCCTGTCGTCGGTCCGGTTTCCCATGCTTCTATAAGTGAGACGTGCTTGTTCTTAAAGTTGTTTTCTGGGTGCGCCACGTCATGAATAAATTAGCGCCTGCACTAAGCGTGTGGCTTATACACTGCTTTGCCATTGACTCTAGTTTCGTGCCTTAACGGTGTCATAACAATTTGATGAACCCGTCGAAGTGGAGAGATATCCAGCGCGGTGTTCGAGCCAGCGTCTGTCAAGGTCAGACCAAACACTTCGAGCGCGTGCACCCAAAACGAGAAAATTTTTTTTGTTGTTTCCTCAGTTGCGTTATCTGTCTATCTGTTCTGGAACGCAAACTAAATGATGTAGAAAACTGCATCGGCACTGATTGGCTATTCTCTCGGGTCACGTGACATGACGTTGAAATATAGTTTTTCCCTTTGCAGTTCGAGCTATGCTCGTAAAATGATGCAGTTGGCGGTGACGTCAAAATGTCGTCACGATGCAATTTGACGATGCAGTTAACTGAGTGGTCGAGACGAAGCCGGAGATCGTCCTGCATCGTAAAAGATGGCGACCCTAACATATGCATTTCTACTGTTGGGTTTGCCAGCGGATCGAGTTTTTAGGGATCACCGGGATGCTTTCGAGACGAGCGATGCGAGGTTTGTGGGCCAATACCGGCTGACCAAAGGGGTGACTCGCTGGCTGTGAAACGAGCTTCGTGGAAAGCTCCAGCGGCGTCACGAAGGGCCCCCGTGTGCTGACGGTCGAACAACAAGTCCTCGTAGCTCTACGCTTCTACGCCGCTGGCGGCTTCCATGGAACCGTCAGGAGCGACGAAAACATTGGTGTTCACCAGTGCTCTGTAAGTCGCGTACTGATGTCACCAACGCTATCATCGATTGCCTCGGATCGAAGTGGCTGTGTTTCCAGCAAACTTAAGCAGAGAAGGCGCTCACAAAAAGGAAGTTCTTCGAGCGATGCAAGTTCAGCGGCGTGATCGATAAATATTTTAAATACTCTTACACGATTCAACACGATTGTGTTTTCATTTGAGTGCACCCCATATAAGCGATTTGGCTGAGCGAAAAGCCAAGCAAGCAACGGTAACAGGCTTAAGTTGAGCTAGTTCGTTCATACTTCAGGCATATATATATATATATATATATATATATATATATATATATATATATATATATATGTACTTTATTTTAAAGCAACTACTTCAGGTAAGGTCAGCTGAACTAGAATAAACATACACATAAAAAGACCATACACACAGTGGGACTAACAACTGATTTTCTTTTTCCTCCTCCTCCTCTACTACGAACTCAGCTTGGGGGAAATTTTCTTTTTTCTTCTTTTATGCTTCCTACTTCACCGAAAATTTAACCCCCGAAGGAACATTTTTTTTCTTTCTCGTGCAGCACGAGTGAAGTTGCACTAACGGCGTCAAACAAAGTCAAAAAGTACAATTTTTCGTTAGTTGTTCACACAGCAGGAGGTGCCTAAACATGGCGACATTGTTACCCACTGTAGATAAGCAATTTAGCCAGTGCAGTGCGACTGCTAGTCTGGGGTCTTTAACGTGCGTCACGCAGTAGTGATAAACGACCACACGCCGGTACGATGCTCATCCAGAACGAAACTGGCAGGGGCGGGGTTTGAACCCAGGATCCCTGGGCTCTGCAGCGCGAGCTTTCGCTCCACGTGCTCCGAGCTGGTGTGCGCTAGCCCACTCGGCGATTCTTCGAAATTCCCGGTAGGGAAAAAAGAGAACGATGTAGTTTCAACTCAATCGCCACTGTTCGGCGACGTCACCAGACACGTCGCGGTGCAGTTCTCTTCCGATGTAGTTTGTTGGCAATGGAGATTAGGCTTTTCCCACCGGCGACGTCACGATGCAGTTTCTCCACCGCTTTTTCCAGCATCGACAGACTGGATAGCGGAAAAGAGTCAAAGTACAGGCTAGCTGGTGGAAGTCAAACGACGAAATGGATAGCGGAGTCGCTGTTGGCTGAGGCTACTTAGAGTACGGGAGCCAGAGTTACGCGTTTGATTCCACGTGCCGCGTGCCACCCTCGCCGCTATTCGCCGAGATCCGATCACGTGAGGAGTCGTATCAAGTGTCGTGCAGCAAAGTAGACGTTGCGCGCGCCCCGGCGTACGTTTCCCGGCTCCGTAGGCAGCGCCGCGCGCCTCGAACGCGCGGCGCTGCTATTCGCCGAATTCAGTCACGTGAGGAGCTGTGTCCACATGCCATGCATGAACGCGCAACTCTGGCTCCCGTAGGGAGCCTATACAGGAACGCTAATGGCGAATTCCACTGGGCGTTTTGAAGCGCGCCGGGATCAGTTGACCAGATCTGGACTAGAGCACACGATCGGAATGGGGTTCGCGCCGCCTACGGATCCCCAGTGGAACATGACCACTGCTCCGGGATCGGCGGACGTCTTCCCGTCATTCACCTGCCCGGGAATCCCCTTTCCGCGGCCGCCACGGTCGTTTTGAAGACGTTTTCGCAATCGCGGCGCTAACATGTGTTCGACGCACGAGCGGCAGGAATGGCTCAGGCGCTTCTAGCAAAGATTGCCGGAATGCCCGTAGCGCGGCAAATGCCTTCTCTTCTCCTTCCTGGAAAACAAACCGGCTGTCGAGCGAAGGGGTAAGCAAGCGGCCATTACGAATTCTGCTGATGTCGAGACAATCTAGGAGCCCAGCCCGCGACGTGCTTTTTCTTCTGAGGCGAGATGGGCGAGATCAGGTGAGATGCACCACAAGAAAGGAAGTCACGTGTGTGCGCCGAGGGCTGGCCCGGCTGGCTTCCGGTTGAATCCGCCAAAATCGTGGGAGCGACATTTCTCGGCTCCAGATCGAGATCTGGAGCGGGAGCTAATCCAAAACGACCAGTGAAACACGTCGGTCTCGATCCCTATCGCAGAGTGAAATAGGCTTGCTCCTGAAAAGTCGAT